CTCTCACAGTCTCACTCACTTTCACTCACTCAATCACTCACTCTCTCACGCAGTCTCACTCACTCAGTCTCACTCACTCACTCTCTTTCTCACAGTCTCACTCACTCTCTCTCTCTCACAGTCTCACTAACTCACTCACTCTCACTCACTCACTCTCACTCACTCACTCACAGCCTCACTCACTGTCTCAAAGTCTCACTCACTCACTCTCACTCACTCTCACTCACTCTCACGCAGTCTCACTCACTCACTCTCACTCAGTGACTCACTCACTCACGCAGTATCACTCACTCACTCTCACTCACTCTCACTCAGTCTCACTCACTCACTCTCACTCTCTCACTCTCACTCACTCACCCTCACTCACTCACTCTCACCCACTCTCTCTCTCTCACTCACTCTCACGCAGTCTCACTCACTCTCTCTCTCACTCAGTATCACTCACTCACTCTCACTCACTCTCTCACTCACTCTCACGCAGTCTCACTCACTCTCACGCAGTCTCACTCACTCACTCTCACTCACTCACTCTCACGCAGTCTCACTCACTCACTCTCACTCACTCACTCTCACTCAGTGACTCACTCACTCTCACTCACTCACTCTCACTCACTCTCACGCAGTCTCACTCACTCACTCTCACTCACTCACTCACTCTCACTCACCCTCACTCACTCAATCTCACTCACTCACTCTCACTCACTCTCACTCACTCACTCTCACTCACTCACTCTCTCACTCTCACTCACTCTCACTCACTCACTCTCACTCACTCAATCTCACTCACTCACTCTCACTCACTCTCACTCACTCACTCTCACTCACTCTCTCTCACTCACTCACTCTCACTCACTCTCTCTCACAGTCTCACTCACTTTCACTCAATCACTCACTCTCTCACGCAGTCTCACTCACTCAGTCTCACTCACTCACTCTCACTCTCTCTCTCACAGTCTCACTCACTCTCTCCCTCTCACAGTCTCACTCACTCACTCTCACAGTCTCACTCACTCACTCTCACTCACTCACAGTCTCACTCACTCACTCTCAGTCTCACTCACTCTCACTCACTCAATCTCACTCACTCTCACACTCACTCTCTCACACTCTAACTCACTCACTCTCACTCACTCTCACTCACTCTCACTCACTCAATCTCACTCACTCACTCACTCTCACTCACTCACCCTCACTCACTCACACTCTCACAGTCTCACTCACTCACAGTCTCACTCACTCACAGTCTCACTCACTCTCACAGTCTCACTCACTCACACTCACTCACTCACTCACAGTCTCACTTACTCACTCACAGTGGCACTCACTCTCACAGTCTCACTCACTCACTCTCACTCACTCACTCACAGTCTCACTCACACTCTCAAAGTCTCACTCACTCACTCTCACTCACTCTCACTCACTCACTCTCAGTCTCACTCACTCACTCTCACTCACTCAATCTCACTCACTCTCACACTCACTCTCTCACAGTCTCACTCACTCACTCTCACTCACTCTCACTCACTCAATCTCACTCACTCACTCACTCTCACTCACTCACCCTCACTCACTCACACTCTCACAGTCTCACTCACTCACAGTCTCACTCACTCACAGTCTCACTCACTCTCACAGTCTCACTCACTCACACTCACTCACTCACAGTCTCACTTACTCACTCACAGTGGCACTCACTCTCACGCAGTCTCACTCACTCACTCTCACTCACTCACTCTCACTCACTCACTCTCTCACAGTCTCACTCACTCTCTCAAAGTCTCACTCACTCACTCTCACAGCCTCACTCACTCACGCTCTCACAGTCTCACTCACTCACTCTCACAGTCTCACTCACTCAATCTCTCACTCTCTCACAGTCTCATTCACTCATACTCACTCACTCTCTCACAGTGTCACTCACTCACATTCACACAGTCTCACTCACTCACTCTCACACAGCCTCACTCACTCTCACTAACTCACTCCCTCACAGTGTCACTCACTCTCATGCAGTCTCACTCACTCTCATATAGACTCACTCACTCTCACTCATTCTCACTCACTCTCACTCACTCACTGTCACTCACTCTCACTCACTCTCACTCACTCACTCTCACTCGCTCTCTCACAGTCTCACTCTGACTCACCCTCACTCACTCTCACTCTGGCTCACTCAATACTCCTGACAACCGCCGTTTGTCACAAAGTGTAAGTGACGTCACCACCACGCTTGTGCCAGGCTAAGTACACTTTGAGGTCACGTGAAAGTGTCGAAGGCTCAGATGGTATTGATTTACTGACTGGGATGACTGGCAGATGCCACCACCTCTGCTCTTCATTATGCCAAATTGCTGCGTTTTAACCGCCGGGCGCTCTGCCCATTGTTGTGAGCGTCGCTTCTCCGCCCTCCGCTGTTGTTGGAGGGAGACTGCCTCCACTTTACCCGTAGCAGCATCCTCCACGAGCTTCCTCCACACGGGCCGATCTTGACACCGCTCCCGCGCACAATTGCACACGCGTACGCACGCGTACGCACGCACTCGCGCGCGTAACAACCGCAGTTCGGCACTAATTGTTGGTACCTTCCACGAGGTTCTTGTGCCAGGCTTGGTACACTTTGAGAACACGTGACGCGTCAACGGCTCACCAGACGACAAGTCGCGGAACACGCATGCCCAGACATGTTCAGGTGAAGACGCAGAATGTTCTCTCTTTACAGACGCACACGCGCGTGTCAGACGTTCCATGCACCAACACAACCGCCATTCGCCACGAGGTGACGGTGACATCGTCTCGGCGCCTGTGCCAGGCCGTGTACACCTTGAGGCCACGTGAAGTGTCGAAGACTCGGTGACAGGAGGTCTCGTGACACACCCAAGGTGCCATGGGTTGACTGACTGAGATGACTGGCAGAGATGCACCAGGTGTGCCCCCTACTGTGCCAATTTGCTGTATTTTATCCGCCCGGTGCTCCGCTCGTTGTTGTGAGCGTCGCTCCATTGTTGTTGGAGGGCCTCCAACTGACCAGTTGCAGCGTCCTTCACGAGCCTCCTCTATACATGCACACAGACGCACCCACAGGCAGACACGCAGACATACATCTCGACATAGCAAGACAAAGATCCCCCATATTAGTAGACCTTGAGTCTCTGTTTGGGTGTAAAGTACTGTTAGTGAGCACCGACTCAGGCGGGCAGGTCACACGAGAGAGTGGGTGGCCAGCACGTCTCTTTGTCGCCTCAATACTTACACACCACGCCAGGCTTGAAGTTCAGAATCAGAATCTTCATTTAGACTGCAGGAGGAGGAATCCGATGAGCTGTGAAGCTCTTTTTCATAGATGTCCAGTAAGGGACGGGTCAGCAAGTTACAACAACCAACAAATAAACAATACAAACTAACAATACAAATAAACAACACAAATAAACAAACAATACAAATTAACAATACAAACTAAGAATACAAATAAAAACACAAATAAACAATACAAATAATCAATAAAACAAACAATACAAATAATCAATATAAATAAACAACACAAACAAACAATAAAAAATACAAACAATACAAATAAACAACACAAACTAACAATACAAATAAACAGACATTAAAAACAAACAATACAAATAAACAATATAAACTAACAACACAAATAAACAATAGAAACAAACAATACAAACTAACAATACAAATTAACAATACAAAACAAACGCTACAAATAAAAAACATTAAAAACAAACAATACAAATAATCAATATAAATAAACAACAGAAACAAACAATACAAATAAACAACACAAATAAACAATAGAAACAAACATTAAAAACAAACAACACAAATAAACAATAGAAACAAACAATACAAACAAAAAACATAAATAAACAATACAATAAACAATAGAAACAAACAATACAATAAACAATACAAAACAGAGAAGAGTGCAAATATATAGAACATGTAATTCACGAAAATCTAACGAGGAGAGAAAGATAAAAACAAAAGTAACAAGTTACCGTACATGCATTGACGCCGATTTCATTTGCACCACTAAATTCCATCCAGGGCGAGGCGGGGAAGGCACAGGGGACGTGTTCAGCTCCTCGTCACCGACATCGACTCCCGTGAAAGCGCGAAACGACTTCGGGTCGCGCCGGACTCACGGCGCACTGCGCCAACCACTGCGCCACCGCTCCCCGCGAGCCAAAGCGCGACCCGGGACTCGGCAGGTGTCGCAGTGTCCCGCCTCTCGTTAATGGATCAAAGCCACGTGGGGTGAGGCGCCCTGGGCCGGGATGGAAACCTGCTGCTCATTGTGAGCGCATTAGGAAGACTGCCTGACCAAGTCGTTGATAGGAGGAGAGACTTGCCCGTGCATGCCAGGTGTTGTGGGCTCGGGGCTGCGACGTGGCCGGCAGATGGAAATGAAGCAACGGATGGATTCTTGTATCCATCCGTGCGGAGCTTGGAGTGTTGCTCATTCGTTGCTTGCGCTTCTCCTCCCACGCGGAGGCCACACAGCAAACAAACGCCATCGACGCAACATCCCAAGGCACCACACTCCTGAACGAGACTCACTCCCTGGGGAATTAATTAACACAACGTGAACCTGGCAGTCCGGCGCGTGAAACCGCCATGAACTGCGGAGAAAAAGGAACCAAGTTCGTATCGTAGCAGTTCACATTCAGTCGACGGATTTTTTTTTTGTTCGTCAAAACCCCTACGTTTCCTGCCGCCCCAGAGTGTAAACCGCGTTTATTTTTACTATTCTCTAGACAGATGTGATCGCTGTCCTGCTAACTCGCACGCAGGCATGCGCATAGCCCAGCGCGCCGAGCTCGTAACACACGCACGCACGCAACTCCTACGCCCACCGTTCATTATTAGGGATACCAAGGGATATGCAAATTCTCTAAAAACAAGGGGGCCCAATGAGCAGTGCAGTGCGGGGGTGATGGAGGGGGGAGGCGGGGGCACCGAGTCGCTGTATAAATTCCTCCCCTTGTGCGCGCTCCTCCGACTCCGCTCAGGATTCGGAGCGACGCCTCGATCGCCGTTGCACGCGCGTGCGCGCGACCCCGGGGAGAATTCGCGACTCGAGTTCCACAACGGAGAGACCGGGGGGGGGCAGGAGCACGGCGCTTTGCCGCGTGACGTCGGTAAGGGAACCAGATAGAGCGAGCGAGAGAGGGAGAAAGATAGGGGGGGGGGGCAGCGAGACGATAGAGACAAAGAAGACGTCGTGGGAAGAGTTTGGGGAGAGCGTGAGTCCCGTGCGTGGCCTCTCAAGCTCCAACGGATCGCGCGGTAGCGCAGCGCAACCCATGGAGGTGAGAGACGTGAGGCTCGTGATGGAGTCGCCGGCCAGCTCTCCGCTCTCGCCGCTCTCCAGCCCTCTCCCCAGCGAGGAGGACCCCGGGGAGAGGCCGGCGAGCAGGCGAGGATCCCGCAAGCGACGCTCGACCATCACCGAGGGCGGCGCGGGCGGCGGGAAGCGAGGGAAGCGAGGAGGAGGAGGAGGCGGCGGCGGTGGCATTGGCGTCTCGGGAGGAGCGGGTTGCGGTAGCGGAGTGGTGAGCGGTGCGGGTAGCGGAGCTGCGGGCAGCGAGGGCAGCCCCTTGTCGGGCGAGGAGATGCAGCAGCAGCGCTTCATCGCGAACGTGCGCGAGCGGCAGCGCACGCAGTCTCTGAACGAGGCGTTCTCGTCCCTGCGCCAAATCATCCCGACGCTGCCCTCGGACAAACTGAGCAAAATCCAGACGCTGAAGCTGGCGACGCGCTACATCGACTTCCTCTACCAGGTGCTGCAGAGCGACGACGAAGGCGGCAACGGAGGAGGAGGCGGCAACGGAGGAGGAGGAGGCGGAGGCGCCGACGCCAGGCTCAGCGCCGCGTGCAGCTACGTGGCGCAGGAGCGGCTGAGCTACGCGTTCTCCGTGTGGCGCATGGAGGGCGCGTGGTCGCTCTCCGCCTCGCATTGACACGGTACAGAACTCGCGCGCGCGCGCACGCGCACGACGGGCACACGCGCGCGTGGGGCATGAGACGAACGCACCGCGGCAGCAGCAGTGGCGGTGGCAACAGCGACAACAGCCGCCGCCGTGTGTCCGCGTACCCTTTGCACAATAGTGCGTACACACATAGCGAGCACACATGCACGCGCGCAGGTCAACACACACACACACGTGTTCACGTGTTCACACACACACACGTGTTCACACACACACACACGTGTTCACGTGTTCACACACACGTGTGTTCACGTGTTCACACACATGTGTTCACGTGTTCACACACACACGTGTTCACACACACACGTGTTCACACACACACGTGTTCACGTGTTCACACACACACACGTGTTCACACACACACACACGTGTTCACACACACACACGTGTTCACGTGTTCACACACACGTGTTCACGTGTTCACACACACACGTGTTCACGTGTTCACACACACACGTGTTCACACACACGCGTGTTCACGTATTCAAAGCATTGTGGCGAGTACGCGCGCCCACTCGTCTCCTCGCGAGGGGCGCTTTGCTGCGCTTGGGGTGGAGTCGTGGGGGCGAGGTGTAATTGACAGCTCGCTGTTAAAGGCATCGGCTACCACACCCGGACACTTAATTAGTTCTCTCGCACATTCTATAATTGACTCGGCTTCGACGAGTGGTTGGCGCACCACGAGATGACTCCATGAGTTAGGAGCCGCTCGTCGTCTCGACATTTACTCAACCGAGACGCGCATCGGCCACCTGCGCAACGTCTCGTCTCATCCGCAGTCCCCGCGGTCGATGGACAGCTGCAGTGACCTAGGGAGTATGACACAGAGGAACGTGTTGCTCAGTCAAGTAAAGTGAGATGATGGTTACAAGAATAATAATAATAACAATACTCGGGCAGAATTATTGGCCAGGAATCTTTGCGCGGAGGTTCTAAGTGGAGCGGGAGAATAAAGTTTCTTTCGGCGCCGCTTATTTGTGTTTCCACGGCCCTGGCCAGACCACAGCCACGAAGCCAAACAACCGCACGGTTAGAGGCTCCGGCTCCCACCGCTTGTTCCATTGAGCCCTGGGCTTTTCGCTTTCGCCCCCCCCCCACCCCCATCTTTTCCGACAGCTCATTTAACACGTGGTTCTGCACACTCATGTTTTAGGTAATAAATAAATAAACAGACGAGAAGTCTGCTTCGCCGCTTGGGTAAATGACGTTTACGTTTAGAAATCACGCCTCTTAAAGGCATTCCGGGACCAGTGCTTTTCAACAGCGTTTGTTTAAACAAGGCAAGATAAAAAAAAAACCTCGCTCGGGTTCGACTTATCTGTGTTCATCAGCAGAGCGTGGTTCGTTTAACAAATAGTGCCGGGCTACGCGGTGTTGTCGACAAGAGGAACCCCCCTCCACGAGTGCCGTGGGGCCCCAAATCATGACCAGCGCGGCACATTCAGCACCGCGGTACAACGCGCGCCACGTAGTAGTTTTGGATACATGCGTTAAACCCTAGAGGTTATTTTGGAAATATCCAGTATTTTGTGATGCATGGTTTGTTCTGGGGTTCCACACCCCCCCCCCCCCCCGCAACAACAAACCACCATCACCAACAACAGCGATAACAACAACGGCCAGTGATTGTTTTAAACGTGGAGTTTCCGAGTGAATAACCGCGCCATCTCTCGCAGCGCACTCGCGATTTGGGCCCTCGCTGGATGGTGCGCGCGGCGCTCCGCGGTCCTTGACTCGGCGCTTCTCTCTGCTCCGCAGCCGCCCCGCGTGGAGGAGTGGAACTCTCTGGTTGGTTCGTGGCAAGGGATTGAGTCGCGGCCACGTGTGGAGGAGAGGGAGAGAGGACGAACTGAGACCTCGCTTTCAATGGCTCGCGTGAACTCACCCTTCTCGGACTCGATGCTGCTTCGCGTGAACGCACCCCCCCGCCCGCCCGCCGGCGCCCCCCCCCCCCCCACCTCTAGGGCCCGGCTCCTGACCCGCGGTTTGCGCGTGACCTGATTGCGCGTGACCTCGCAACGGCATCTGGAACTCCGGAATTCCAGATCGACCGAGCTAGTCGCGGCCAAGGTGTGGAGTGGACGAACTGATTATCCCCCCACACCCACCCAACCAACCAACCCCCGCCGTTCACTGGAAACAAAACAACAACATTTTTTTTAAATAATTTTTTTGTTCAGAGCGGAAACAAACAAACCAAAAAAAACTCTGCCGAGCAAACGCGTCGCGTATTTATGTAAACTCGGGTGAGGTATGGAGGCTCGGCCACACAAGGAACCAGTCTCGTGATCGCGCGAATGAGTCCGATTTAAACACATCTTTTGTTCAACCGCATTTCCTGGGAAATATATATTAGTAAATCTTTATTGTTCTCTTCACTCCTATGTTACCTGTAAGCTTAAATACGAACTAGACCAAGCAAAGTATATATGTATAATGTGTGTGTGTGTACGCTATCTCACGCCTGCTGTACGCGTTGTAATTTATTGGGGGGGGAAGCTCTGGGCTTGGAACCCCAGTCTCTCGTCTGCTCTGCTGTCTAGTGATTCCGGCTTGCGGTGATTCCGGCTCGCGGTGATTCCGGCTCGCGGTGATTCCGGCTCACGGTGATTCCGGCTCGCGGTGATTCCGGCTCGCGGTAATTCCGGCTCGCGGTGATTCCGGCTTGCGGTGATTCCGGCTTGCGGTGATTCCGGCTCGCGGTGATTCCGGCTTGCAGTGATTCCGACTCACATGGGGGGAGGGAGTGGGTACTCTGTAGAGGAACCCAGAGTCTCTGAGTCCCGACTGCCAGGTGCTCTCTCTCTCTCTCTCGATCCCGTTCGCGTTAATTGTCTTGCGCAGTGCTACCAAGCGTTCAATATTCGTGGGATATCGAACAACAACAAAAATGAAACAAATGAAATCCTCTCGAGTACGAAATTGCAAATGAATGTGTTGGGGTTTTTTTTTTCCAGTGTTATTATTGTCGTCGTCATTTTTTGTAATCGTTGTTGTTGTATTACGCATTCTTGGTCAAGCCTATGTTTACATACAAATATATATACATCTACATTTCACTGAGCATGTGCTGTGTGCCGCTACGTACGTTCACACGCACGTATTGTAAACTGCATTACGGACTGTCTGTTCTGTGTGCGCGCGCGCGTATTGTTGGAGCGGTGAATGCAGTGGTTCAGCGTATTGCGCCGCGAAGCAAGCCCACCTGAGTTCGATTTCCAGCCACGACTAACATCAGTGTTAAGTGAGTTAGAACTTATCCCGGGCCTCCCCTAAGTCGACTCAGCCTTAAATTAGTACCTGGTGCGGCGCGTAAACATCAGCAGTGCGGAGACAAAGGCGTCCGGGCGTGGTCGGTGCTCGCTAACAGCGCTTGCGCCAACAATCTGTTCAGAGCAGTGCGAGGATTCTAACGTGTGTGTGTGTATATGTTTGTGTGTGTATATATGTGTGTGTGTGAGGAGCGATAGTGTAGAGCTTACCGCGCTGCGCTACGAGCCCGACCCGAATTTAATTCTCGCTCAAAGCCGAACACCAGTGACGATTACCGAAACCAGTCCTAGGTATCCCCTAGGTCGACTCAGCCTCAAATGAGTACCTGGTGCGGTGTGCAAACATCGCTTCTCGCGAGACAAAGGTCGTGGTGCTGGCCACCCACCCCCTCGTGTGCCGTGCCGGCCTTCGTAGGTGCTCGCTCACAGCACTTGCCCCAACAGTCTGTTAAGGCTATACGGGGGAGCTGTGTCTCTATGCGTACACGCAGGGTGGCGTAGACCGGCGTGCGTCAGCACTAACCTCGTGGCGTCCACGGGCAGATGTCTGCCTTTTAAGATCACGCGTCGTGTCAGCGAGAGAGATGAGACCCTTTGAAGTATGTTGCCTTTTTTTATAATCTCTCTTCGCTGCCGCCCGATGCCATGTGTCAGTAAATACGCGGCGTGCGACCTCTCCACACGGACCCATCCACGCAGGAGCAGCAGTGGCGCGGTGAATGTGGGCAGTACAGCAAATGAGGTTTGCGAGCCCCGTCTCTGCGGACCTCTGAGTAACACTAACCTTGTTTTTCTTTTCATACGAAAGGTCACATGAACTGGTTTATGTGCAAAACCATTTTTTTTTACTAAACCGCCCACAGTCGGATTCTAGGAAGCTACGAAGCCGGATCGATTCGCTACGGCAGTGGTGGCGCTAAGGCAAAAGCAAAACTAAGCAATGGTTTACTGCTCCCAGGAAGATGAAGAGGCACTATTGAACTATACATTGAAAAAACAACATTCTAAAATCATTAAAATAATTATAATCAGCCCCTTCACTTAATTCGTTCACAAGCCTAAACACGATTACATTCTGATTTAAAGCTCTCGTGACTGCAGGGATTCATATTATTGGTTCTTTCCGTAAAGTCATAATAATAAAAATATAAAACAATAACATGAAATATATTGTTTTATATTTTTATTATTTTATTGTTTCCCTTCTACGTGACTTTACCGAAAGAACCAATAATACGATTCAATTCGTTCAACCTTTTGCATAGTGTTTGTTGTCACGTGACACAATTCCCACTTTTTCGTTCTCTCTCTTAGCAACAACGAATGGGCTGGGTGCCACCGCTTGTTGGGTTGGAACTTGGACGGGGGTCATTGAAGGGGGGGGGGGGGGGGGGGGGGGGTGCTGTCTGGGTGTCGTCGGGACTGCGAGGTCGTGTGGCTAGGATTGAGCGTCACCCTCTCGCGTAGAGAGGGCGCGGATTGCTGAGCTTGCTCCGGGGATCTCTACTTTCCTCCGGCGTGAAGGATAAAAAAAAACTCTCCTTTAGATGATGCCATTGACTAACAACATCCCCCCCCCCCCCCGCCCAATGTAGCAAGGACCCTCCTGGGAAATTCTCCAGAATCATTGGAGCTTTCCGCGAATAAATTATTGGCATCAAAACGAGGTTAGAAGGGATGATGTACTTCCTGTACACAAAGAGAGAGGCGGTGTATGAGGTGCGACGTGTACAGGAAAGAACATCATCACCTTTAACCTCAACGAGAAGCAGTGCAGTCATATTTTAAACGGTTTAGGTACGAAAAATATAATAAAACGCGTCCGTTTAAACAGTCTTTACATTTCACGCGCAATCCCGTCTCGTGATTGGCGTTGCTGGGTTTTGTCTCTGCACTACTGCGCCTTCCTTCCAACACGAAGCAACAACAACAACAACAAAACACACATCCATTCGCTTGCAAGGGAAAATCGACGACGCGTCTCAATAAAGGTGTAAGCAGGGCCCTCCTGAACAAGACGAAGACGCGCAAGACGTACGGAGGACCGTCACTGAGACCGTCGAAATAACGCGGCACATTTCACGAAAGGCGTGCTGGGGACTTGATGGAGATTTATTTAAATGACGACGAGAGCGGAACGAGGCCGTTGTTCGCTGAACTGGCCCAACGCGCGTGCGCGTCTCGCGCGTTCAGCGACTCGGAACCACGTGCACGCGCGCAGAGTTTCACTTCGATGTCATTCTTTTCTCGGAACGCTGCTTTTTTTTGCAAGGCTGCCCTGGCTCTGAGGATTGTCGGCGTAAGGCACTACCACGAGAGTGCAAGGTACACCAGACAGTGTTCATAATGCTCGGATATAACTGCAATCCTGTTATGTTCGTATGAGCGCAGGAGGGCAACGTGACGATAACAGCATGGGGCGACATGGGTGTGGCTGCGTGGCAAGGTGATGGTCGGAAACAACGTATGAACAACGTTCGTTTCTGCGCTGCGTCTCTGGCTGAACGAAGCCGCGTGTTGTGTATACGAAGCCGCGTGTTGTGTATACGAAGCCGCGTGTTGTGTATACGAAGTCGCGGGTTGTGTATACGAGTCGCGTGTTGTGTATACGAAGCCGCGTGTTGTGTATACGAAGCCGCGTGTTGTGTATACGAGTCGCGTGTTGTGTATACGAAGCCGCGTATTGTGTATACGAGTCGCGTGTTGTGTATACGAAGCCGCGTGTTGTGTATACGAGTCGCGTGTTGTGTATACGAGCCGCGTGTTGTGTATACGAAGCCGCGTGTTGTGTATACGAAGCCGCGTATTGTGTATACGAAGCCGCGTGTTGTGCATACGAGTCGCGTGTTGTGTATACGAGTCGCGTGTTGTGTATACGAAGCCGCGTGTTGTGTATACGAGTCGCGTGTTGTGTATACGAAGCCGCGTGTTGTGTATACGAATCGCGTGTTGTGTATACGAGCCGCGTGTTGTGTATACGAGTCGCGTGTTGTGTATACGAGCCGCGTGTTGTGTATACGAGTCGCGTGTTGTGTATACGAGTCGGCCAGCGCGCGTGCGTGCGAGAAACCCAGATGAACTTTATATATAAAACAAAAATCTATCTCCGTGAAATCTCTCCCTGCTTCTGATGCGCGAGGCGCGCGGGTAAGGTGACGTTGAGGGGCGTGTGACGGTAAGGTGAGGGTGAGGAGCGTGGGTGAGGGTGAGGGGCGTGTGACGGTAAGGTGAGGGTGAGGGTGAGGAGCGTGGGTGAGGGTGAGGGGCGTGTGACGGTAAGGTGAGGGTGAGGAGCGTGGGTGAGGGTGAGGGGCGTGTGACGGTGAGGCGTGGGTGAGGGTGAGGAGCCTGCGAGGGTGAGGAGCGAGCGAGGGTGAGGAGCGAGCGAGGGTGAGGTGAGGGTGAGGAGCGTGTATCCTACACGCCTAGTGCGAGGTGTCAGAGACAAACAAGCATTGTCCACAGAGCAAAATGTAAAAAAAGACATCGAGCGGGGTCGACGTTTGTCTGGCAACGCGAGGACTCGCGAGAGGAAACGGATTTGCAGCAAAAAAATGCGTGCACGTGAGAGTGTGTGTATGTGTGTGTATGTGTGAGAGTGTGTGTGTATGTGTGTGTATGTGTGTGTATGTATGTGTGTGTGTATGTGTGTGTGTACGTGTGAGAGTGTGTATGTGTGTATGTGTGTGTATGTGTGTGTATGTGTGAGAGTGTGTGTGTGTATGTGTGTGTATGTGTATGTATGTGTGTATGTGTGTGTGTATGTGTATGTGTGTGTGGGGAGCGATAGTGTAGCGGTTAGCGCGCTGCGCTATGAACCTGGCGACCCGGGTTCGATTCCCGCTCACGGCCAACACTAGTGACGATTATCTGAACCGGGCCTCCCCTAGGTCGACTCAGCCTCAAATGAGTACCTGGTGCGGTGTGTAAACATTTCCACTAGGGAGACAAAGGCGGTCGGGCGTGGTGCTGGCCACCCACCCCCTCGTGTACCGCTCCGGCCTTCATAGGTGCTCGCTAACAGCACTTGCCCCTACAGTCTGTTAAGGCTAAATGGGGGATCTTTGCTTTGTTTTGTATGTGTGAGAGTGTGTACGTGTATGAGTGTGTATGAGTGTGTATGTGTGTGTATGTATGTGTATGTGTGAGAGTGTGTGTATGTCTCCCAAGCGAAATGCTGAGGGAGGGTGGCGTTTGTGCACAGACTGCCCTATATGACATCATAACAACAGTCTGGACCACTGGACGGGTTCCGCAGGATTGGAAGGATGCCCTGGTGGTCCCCCTTTTTAAGAAGGGGGACCGCACAGACTGTAACAACTACAGGGGCATCTCACTCCTCAGTGTGCCGGGAAAGGTCCTGGCAAGGATTATTCAACATCGCCTTGCCAGGCACGCTGAGGAGAGGCTTGTGGAGCCCCAATGCGGTTTCAGGAAAGGGCGGTCCTGCACAGATGCCACATTTTCTGTCCGTTTGCTACAGCAGAGGTGTAGGGAATTCCAGCAAGACCTACATCTCTGCTTTATTGACCTGGTCAAGGCCTATGATACCATCAGTAGGCCTGGGCTCTGGGTTGTTCTTCGTGCTTTTGGAGTCCCTGACCCTCTGCTCACGATCATTAAGGACCTTCATGATGGTGAGCGGGCCCTGGTAAAACTGTGGCCGGGAGTCAGAGCCATTCCCTGTACATCTTGGGGTGCGACAGGGATGTCTTCTGGCTCCCACATTATTTAACATCTATTTCGACCACGTAGTTCGTGAAGCCTTCAATAGCTGTACCGGGAGAATCTCCATATGGTACAGATATAATGGGAGGCTGATCGATGCCCGGGTGCGGTCAAGGGATGGCTCCCTATTGCTCAACCACGTTATGTATGCCGATGATTTGGTAATAGCTGCTCATTCAGAGGAGGAGTTGGAGATGCTGCTGCTGAGACTGGAGCGTGCCACTAAGAGATGGGGTCTTACCATCAGCCCCACCAAAACTAAGCACCTACCTGGTTATTTTGTATCATCGGACACTGCACCCCCACAACTCCCAATCGGTGATGGGGCAGTTGTGGAGAGAGTGGAGAGTTTCCCATACCTGGGCAGTGTGCTTATGACCGACTCCAGTTTAACAGCAGAGGTCTCACTCCGAATCAGTCGAGCAGCAATATCTTTTAATCGGTTGCGTAACGCTGTGTGGAAGCTACCTGGTCTGTCGCTCCGCACTAAGCTTCAGGTCTTCTCGGCCACGGTCATTCCCTCCCTTCTCTATGCTTGCGAAACGTGGACCCCCCTAACGGAACATCTTCGCCGGTTGGAAACATTTAGGCTGGCGTGCCTACGATCCATCCTGGGTTTAACCAGACTGGATTGTGTAAGGAGCTCACAAATCCTTGAAAGATCTGGGCAAGGTCCCATTGGTGAGCTCCTCCGGTAGGCAAGGCTGCGTTGGCTTGGTCATGTAGCCCGCATGCCCAGCCATCGCATGCCGAAACAGCTTTTGTTCGGCCGGATCGAGGGGGCTAAACGGGCGCGGCACGGGCTAGAGAAGAGATGGAGTGATGTGGTACAGGAGGACGTGGAACTGAGTGGACTTACCGATGACTGGTACCAGCGGTGTCAAGATCGGCCTCTGTGGAGGAGGCTCGTGAAGGACGCTACTGGGCAGTTGGAGGCAGTCGCCCTCCAACAACAACGGAGGGCGGAGGAGCGACGCTCACAACAACGAGCGGAGCGCCGGGTGGCTAAAGCACAGCAGATTGGCACAGTAGGGGGCACAGGTGGTGCACCAGCCAGTCATCTCAGTCAGTCGACCCGCGGCACCTGGGTCTGCCCCGTGACCTCCTGCCCGCGGGCGATCGACACTGCACGTGGCCTCAAGGTGCACATGGCCTGGCACAAGCGTCGTGGTGACGTCACCGCCACTTAGTGGCGAATGGCGGTTGTTGTTGTATATGTGGGAGCGGTGGTGTAGCGGGTTAGCGTGCTGCACTACGAACCTCGCTCACGGCAAACACCAGTGACGATTATCTGAACCGGTCCTTGGCCTGCCCCTACGTCGACTCAGCCTCAAATGAGTACCTGGTGCGGTGTATAAACATCGCCACTGGGGAGACAAAGGCGGCCGGGCGTGATACTGGCCACCCACCCCCTCGTGTCTCGCGCCGGCCTTCTTAGGTGCACGTTAACAGCACTTGCCCCTACAGTCTGTTAAGGCTACACGGCGGATCTTTGCCTTTTATGTGTCTCTGTGCATATAAAGGGCGATCCATCTATAGATACCCCACTGCATGCGTAGGGGATACATCATCGATCAACGCAACTTATTTAATAAAATCCTCTGCACGTCTCCCACCAATCTCAATGCACGCAGTTAATACGTCAACACTCAATCTCTCTCTCTCTCTCCCCTCCTAACGTAAGAGACACGCGAGGCGTCGCTTTCGCAATATTTTACAGCGGCTCTTCAAATCGACGAAAGCAACGAGGGGGGGAGGGAGGGTGGGAGCGAGGTGCCGGGTTTTGGGTCCACCTCGGGGGGGGGGGTCCACCTCGGGGGGCGGGGGTCCACCTCGCGTGTTGAGACCTCCATCCAGCAGTGGATTGATCGCTGTTGGGTGTCGGTGCGCGCGTGTGGTGTCGAAGCGATTTTCGGCGACCCGAGGTTCACGATTCACACTCGACAGTGACGGCAACTTTTTTTTTTTCGGGGGTGGGCGGGTTTTCTTCCCAACTGGTTCTCGGGGACAGCCCCTAGGTCGGCTCAGCCTTAAAACGAGTAAGGTGTGTACGCATCAGCTGTGGGGAGAAACAAAGGCGGCCGGGCGTGGTGTTGTTGGTCACCCACCCACCCCCCTCGTGCGCCGTGCCGGCCTCTATAGGTGCTCGCTAACAGCACTCGCCCCAACAGTCTGTTACAGGGACACGATACACACACACACGGGTACACACCACACACACACACGGGTACACACACGGGTACACACCACACATCACACACACACGGGTACACGACACATCACACACACGGGTACACATCACACACACACACCACACATGACGCACACACACGGGTACACGACACATCATACACACACGGGTACACATCACACACACACACCACACATGACGCACACACACGGGTACACGACACATCACGCACACACATGGGTACACACCACACACACACACGTGTACACCGCACATCAAACACAGACGTGTACACCACACACACACGTGTACACCACACACACAAACACGGGTACACGACACATCACACACCACACACGGGTACATGACACACACACGTGTACAAGACACACATCACACACACACGTGTACACCACACACACACGTGTACACAACACACACACGTGTACACGACACACCACACACACACGTGTATACAACGCACACGGGTACACGACACACCACACACACACACACGTGTACACCACACACACACGTGTACACCACACACACACACACACGTGTACACAACACACACATACGGGTACACGACACACCACACACACGTGTATACCACACACACGGGTACACGACACACCACACACACGTGTACACACACACGTGTACACAACACACACGTGTACACAACACACACACACACACACGTGTACACCACACACACACGTGTACACACCACACACACACACGTATATACAACACACACACACGGGTACACGACACACCACACACACGTGTACACACACACACGTGTACACAACACACACATACGGGTACACGACACACACACACGTGTACACAACACACACACACGTGTACACCACACACACACGTGTACACACCACACACACACACGTATATACAACACACACACACACGGGTACACGACACACCACACACACGTGTACACACACACACGTGTACACAACACACACACACGTGTACACAACACACACACACGTGTACACAACACACACACACGTGTACACACCACACACACACGTATATACAACACACACACACACACGAGTACACGACACACCACACACACGTGTACACACACACACACGTGTACACAACACACACATACGGGTACACGACACACACACACGTGTACACAACACACACACACGTGTAC